TTATAATATGAAATAGACTTGAAATTGAATCAGAGAATAATTTATAAATAAAAAAAATATTGCTAACCAATCATATGAAAGATTCAATTACTTGAAAATTGCTTCAATTTTGCTTATTTAGAATAATGATCCCGGGGTTGTCTTCCAATTGGAGGGGGTATAAAATCCATCAAAAGAAATCTTTAATCCCAGAACTAGAAAGATTTTGAACGCATTATAATTCCAGTTTGCATTAATTTTGGTATGAGTCTTATGAGCTTGATGCGCGTGAGCCCTCCCTCTACATTTCTCTTTGCACTGCCCTTTCAGGTCTTCCATCCCTATTATGAAATTAATTCACCTTATTTGTGACTAATTCATGACACTTTTATTACTAAATGTTTAATTAGTATTTAATTAAACATAATGTTGTTAAACAACATTACTGTATGTTAATTATACTAAATGTTAAAACTGTTATATATATATACTAAATTTATTTGATGTTTATTAATAATTTAAGTTTACTCCTTGCTAGTTGTGATGCTATTACACCAAACTTTAGTCAAATAAACTTTGTCAGTATATGCATAGCTGATTCATATCACACGTTTACGTCATCAAAAACCTTATCACATCAGGTTTGATATAATCAACACCATAGATCTTTTTATGCACTTTTAAAACTAGACTTATATAAATCTGCATCAATAACCAAAAATAAAACTGGAAAAACCCCGTGGGGAACCTTGCAAACATCATTATAACAAAGATACAACATAAAGATTCATTATCATCATTTAATATTCCCCTCTGAACAAATTCAGGTTCAAAGTGGTGAACCAAGAGAAGTGTAAGGATGCTAGAACGAAGGAAAACGGTATAATTACATAGTAACAAGTTTAGTTTGCGGCTTTACGGATGTAGTGTAGCGGGGGGTGGAAGGTACAGGGGGAGGTGACCACCCTTAGGGACTCACTGACTAAATCAGCTGATTTGAAGCAGAAGCTTCATCATTAGCGCTTAATTGCCTAGAGACAGAACGAGGAGACTGGAGAAACGCAGCAAATCAACATCCGGATCCTTGGACCTGGACCTGATTACGCCTACCTGCTGACTGGCTGAACGTTGACTGCAGATTGGGATTGAGATAGAGATAGTGCAAAAGCGCTGCGTCAGCATAAACTGACGTAGACTCCTATAAACTGAGATATAACATCAATACTGATGTGTGTTTGCTTTCGATAGTTTTGTGGTAAATTACAGAAATTTGTTTTTCGTTCTTAGGTTAATTTGGGTAGAGATTGATTATTTTCATAAACTTAATTGTTCTATTAATTAGGAAATCCTCACCAGTTTAATGTGTTCACTTTCAATATTTTCTTTGTTAAGCCTGAAATCATTTTGCTTGCCACTTAGATTAATTTTGATATTTAAGTACAGTACTATTGTTATACTAATTAACATATACCAAACAAAACAATATTAAAGAATCTATAACAAAAGTAACCCAAACAAACATCCATACGTAAATAAAAAGATCAAATTCAATTATTAGCAACGATATTATAAAAAAATGTCCTACTAACTTACTAAATTGTAATTGAAGACATAATATCAATAATGGGTACTTTGGTATTATACCAACCACGCCTAACAACCACAACTAATAATTATAACCTAACCTAACCTAAGGGTGATTAGGTTAGGTAAGGAAGATTTTGTTATATTAACTAATTAAAATCTGTTTTGCAAGTCTATTCATCGATGTGGTTGGTATAATACCAAAGTACCCATTAATGTTATTGGTGGAGAGATAAATAAACTCAAGTTATAATTAGTGTCGAGAAATGATTAATAAAAGTATCAGTATTATTTACATGCTCTCTCATCATTGTCATGCATATTAAAAATTTTAAAACAATTAAAAGTTTGTTAAAACAATTGCTTTGAATTAACAACGAACAAAACTTGTGGACATTAAGATAAGTTATAAGCTCCTTGTTTACTTTATGTCGTTATGACAAGTAGTATCAGCAGGCGACAAAGGAGGTTAATTTTTGTGTGTATATAATATTATTTTATTCGATATCTTTTTTCTAAGGGGAGCTGTCCACTTCAGAGAAAGTTCTCTCTATACTTATTTGTATTTTTAATAATGACCACATGGGTTTTCTAAATACAGTATTTATCGCATATCTTAAAGTGGCTGGTGTGTAACGGGATTTGAACCCAGGAGTCAAGATAACAGCTTCGCGCTCTCAACACTTACCATCTGTGGCTTACATGTGTTTAACTTAACGAGTATATTTAACATTTATATGTGCCATTAACTGAATTGGAAACGGTTTCATTGAGTAGATACTACTAATAAACTTGTAAAGTAAAATATTCAGAAAATAAGTTTATAATAAGTCCATTTTTATCAGAAATATTGTGAAGGATCCAATAAGGCTTTAAAATAGCAGTGTTGATTTCAGTCTATTTTTTTACCTTAACGGATAGGAGTGTAATAAATTAGGTAGAATGTTATGTTGAATTATGAAATATGCAATATGCAGTGCAATACGACTACACTATTTTATGAATTAAGTTTGTGAACACTGTTTAGCAATCATAAATTGTACTCATATACATAAGGAATAAAACTTTTCTTGAGATATATAAGCCAGTTAGAGTCATCTATTTATAAGAGTATCTTTCTGAAGTTTACGTGCAATTTAGCTCATTTAGAACTTCCGCGAACAACTTATACTCAATCAATAGCGACTCATGGTAGTTATTGATATGGATAATTATGCAACTGAAATAAGGCTTTTTAAGACAAAAGTTTCATAATAGAAATAATAGTATTGAAAAATGTCAATCATTGCTCATAGCTCTAATAAGCCAACTAACACTAATTGAAATTAAGAAAAACAAACTATATGAATTTTTAAGGATCAAGATTCCGTACTGATACATCCTAAACATACTAAAGTACATCCTTTACTAAATTTATAAGTAATTTACCCTAGTTAATTTACGTACTTACTTAACTTACTAATTAATAAATTATTACATATTTGTATTTTAATTTTCAATCGGGAAATAAAATATTATTTCATTTTATTTCATTACTTACGAATTACTTCAAATATACCCATGTGTTCAGGACAAACCATAGAAATTAAAATAAAAGAATATATGATGAATTGTTAAATCTCGTGTCCACTTTTTAGGTGGAGTGCTTCGGTAAATAATTACGTTGGGGTCACGAAACGGTTCAAATCCATCAAATTATTTTTGATATGGCTGGAATTGACCCGTTCGTCTCGCATCAAGTTCGTGTCGAATCGAAGTTGGAGACGCAAACCACTATGGAAACTTACCCAAGTCAATATCTTTTGTCGAGTGCCAACATATTTTGTGCTGAACCTTTTCGTGTGTCCTATGAAAAGTCATCGTTGCGTCTAAGCCCCAGATATAAGTGTAAATGTACAGGGTGTTCACAACGTCTTGGCCTGATAAGGAAACCACATAGTATAAAAACGAGGGCTAGTTGGATAAAGATTTATTCATAGACATAACAGGCAACTTCTTAAGATTGTATAACTATTTACAAACTTAATACACCTCTACGTGTGAGCCTCCAGTGGCCTGCAGATCTTCTATACGTCTTTTCAGTTTGTCCCAGGTTTTAGTCATCATATCCTGGGTTTCAGACGCCACAGCATTTCTAAATATCTGTGCCAGTGTTTGTAAATTTGGAACCGAGGAAGATTAGAAAGTGACCTTGACAAATCCCTACAAAAATCCATGGCGGTTACATCGGAGGAACGAGGGGGCCATTTCGTCGGGCCATCACGCCCGATCCAGCGTCTGGGGAAGTGGGGATTTAAAAATCCTTCACACATTTAGCCCAATGAAGCGGGGTGACGTCTTGCTGGAAAATTATCATAGGTTGCAGTTCTTCTAATTAAGGGACTACATACAACTCCAACATATCCAAACAAACACAACTTTTCACAACTCACAATTTTATCACGCAAAGAAAAATGGTACAATGACTCCATCATGCATTTATTTTTAAATAAATTAAATAATTAAATAATAATAATAATAATTTTAAATAAATTATTACACCGCACCAAACATTTAGTTTTGGACTATCCCTTTCATTTTCAATCATGGCTGTGGGATTTTCACTCTTCTAAATTCTACGTTTGTGTGTGTTAACCTTCCCACTTAAATAGAAAGTTGCTTCATCAGAAAAACATATACGATTCAAATAATTGTCATGAAATGTCAAATAAATGTCATGTCCAATGAATCTATCATTTGGTTAGCAAAAGCAGTTCGGAGGGGTAAGTCATTTGGCTCAAGCTTGAACAACCTCCATTTTATAAGCAGTGAACTTATGTTCTTTTTCAAAATTTTGCTAATAGTAGAACGTGGGATATTATGTAACTCTTGGCTAGCTTTACGAATTGACTTACGAGGATTGAGCTGGAATGTTTGGTGCACGACATCTATCGTTTCTTCAGTGGTGCGGGGGCGTCCAGTGCGTTTCTTGTCGCATACACTGCCCCCTTCCCTAAAATGCGAATACAATCTCATGGTTCTTCTATCATGAGCAGGCCTTCCAAATGTTCGCATGAAAAGTCGACGAACTGCTATAGGGGATTGGGTTTCGTGAAACCACAAACACACTGTTATTTCTCTTGTAAACTCACCATTTCTGATTTGTTATTGTATTGAATCATAAATGTATTGTTGTCAATCGGCTGTGTTTAGGTGTTACCAACTACATTAAATAAAACTTGATTAAATTTGCTTCAAAACAAGGCAAATAAATATAGTGAGGCTCCAATGGTTTTCGTACAGCAAAGCTATTAAATCAGGCCAAGACTTGGTGGACAGCTATATATTAAAAACTGTTAAACACTGTTAAAAACTGTTATCAATGGTAAATGATGTTACTCCGAAGGAGTTGATGTTTATTTCAAAGATTTTCATCAGACTCTTTATTTTGTCCACAGGCACGGAGGCCTCCTACACTGGTCCGTTCTTCGTCAAGGAGCCACCCTCCCGGGTTGACTTTGCCAACGAGACAGGGACGACGATAGACTGCTCGGCCTCTGGGACACCGCCCCCCGCCGTGTCTTGGGTGTCGGGGGATGGTAAGCCGGTCATGGGAATACCTCAGCTGGTGGAGGTTCTGACCAACGGGTCGCTATTGTTCTACCCCTTCCACCCCAGCAACTACCGCCACGACGTACACGCCGCCACGTACCGCTGCTCCGCGGCGAACTCTGTAGGACGGATACTTAGCAGGGACATCAGGGTCAAAGCAGGTAACCATTCTTCTTTCATAATATTTAAAGGGTGAAACGTCCACCGTCTAATTTGAGGACTGTATACGGTGTATTATGTTCCACACGAAGAAATACCACCACGTCAATATAAAATAAAATGCAGCTGCTTAGAAAATTTTTTATTTAACTCTTAATATTATACTGTAGTAAAACTAAATATGCGTTTCGTAAATTTGCATTTATTTTTTATGTCGTGAATAGTAAACCCATAATACACTGTGAAGATTTCAGTTACATGGATGGATACGTCTTTTATCATCTTTCACACAGGGTCACCAAACAGTGTCACATGTTTGTTACGCTAAAACAAAGCACAAAGCTTGTAACAAATAACAACAAAGAACGGTTATTTCAAGTTTTAATTTAAACTTTGATCAAGCTACCGAATCTTAGTTCAACTCTTACTAGCCTACTATGTCAAAGCATCTAAAAAAGCTGCGCTAAGAAAGTGGGAAAGCCCAGCTGAATTAAGCATTTGATCAACGAATTGGAGTTACAGTCCACCGCCTAGTTTTTTCTCATTTTGGCATTACTTTTGGATGTCATCTTTCCTCATTGGGTTTGAATAGAGTTTTCTGTTGGACTGTGTTTAATGCTAGACAAAAATAGCTTCATAGCTAGGGAATTTCTGATTCAATATTTCTTAACTCTCTTTAGTTTGCCATTAATAACTATTCCATTTTCACATTTTAAATCTTTTAAAACTACTCATTTTCAGTAATGTTTCTGATGAAAGCAAAAAGACTCCATTGAACCACCATGACAAGCTATACTCTTATATTATATGTTGTCATTCATATGATGTACCAATCATTGAGTGAATGAATGAATGAATGAATGACATGGTCTATTTAAATTTGAATGCTCATTCATAGGTTAAAGCAGTATTTTTCTTATTCAATATTTTTTTTATTAGGTCAAGTTGATTCTAATCGTACCAATAGAGTTATTTAAAATCATTTGGGAGAATTCGCTTTAAGTTTTCAATTATGTATGCAGCTTTTAAAATATAGCAATATATTAAGTTTTTTTTAGTTGACGTAATTAATTATTTATGATGGATTTTGAACACTTTCTTTTGAAATAATGGATTTCTAACGTTAAATCAGATATAGTCGTTTATCACACTCGTGTGTTTTGTAATACGAACCAATCAAACGTTTGACATATGTTCTCAGGGTTCAAGTAGGACCCTGTCTTGCATGCGAGACATATTGCAAAGTACTTGCAGTTTTAATGTTCCTCCTCCAAATATGACACTAGTTGTTCAAATTATGCCCTCACTCTGCCAGTGTTGTAGTCTAAAAATCACTCGAACCAACAGTCAAGTACTTGACATAACTACCGATTCATTTGGTCGGTATTTCTTCCGAAACATAAACACTGTACACTATTTAATAGCGAGTAGTGAAATACGCTGACAAGGAAAGGTCAGCAGTACATAATTATTAACGATATGTACAGGATCATGTGTACGATGGATATTACATTGCAAACTATTTCAGTCATTTATACCAACGAAATCATAGCAACAATGAGTATCAAATGCCTGAATGCCTATTATCTATAACAACTGTATTTCGGCTTCATTCAAAATCTATCCATTAAATAGGAAAGTTCTTTTAATAAAATCGTTGATACTTTTGTATCCGACATACAACAGACCATTTTCTGATTAGAATGCCTAAACATAACCTCTCTAAGAGGTTATGACTAGTGACTTTTATGGTAATATATAAGGATTTGTACAGAATTAGTAGTATGGCGTAAACTATCGTACGTCACTCGTCCAAAATGTGTTTACCGGACTCATATGGTAATCCCGTACTCGACTTTGTCTCGCACGGGAACGACCACAATCGTCTGGCAAACACTTATTTTCAGGAATAGTAACGTAATATACTATTACGCCCCACTACACTATTTTGACGAACTTCCCACGCAAGGATTTAGTCCAGAAAACCGCTGTTTGCCGCCAGCTTAATCAAATGGGGTTTCATCGCGTACTACTGTACTGTAATGACTTTTACCTAACCCGCCATGTTAAACTTCCCTATCCCAAGCGTGATGTATACAACTTCCTTACTTCTCGAGTGATGTAAAGTTGAAAAAACTCACTCGGTGATGTAATGAAACCCATTTAAATAACATTGAATGCATAACTTTAAAAATATACCTCTATGGAGCCAACGGCCAACGACGTTCAACGCTATAGAAATCAGCTGTGGGCTTGAATTTTATTGTTATGTTTTGAAGAATTTTCCTAACCTAGTTTTTGTTTGTAAATGAAGGTTACTGTTAGAAGATGAGTTAAATGGATAATGAAAAATATTGTTCGTAACCTCCTGTATATTGTTGGGTCAGGTAAAATCTTGTACGTTACACGTTACGCAAGAGCGTGTTTACATCACTTAGGTAAATTATGCAACTCGCTTCCGCTCGTTGCACAACATTCACCTGCGTGATGTAAAAACGCTCTTACTACACTTGTAAGGTAAATAGCTATTAACGGACACCAATCAGCTGATTATACTGTATTTGGGTGGCTTTGAGTAGTTATAAACAAAAACTATGACTAGTGATTTTTAGTCCTTTAGTTGGTGGTAATATATACGGATTTGTGTAGATTTAGTAGTATGGCGTAAACCATCGTACGTCACTCGTCCAAAATGTGTTAACCGGACTTGTGGTAATCCTGTACTCGACTTCGTCTGGCACAGGAACGACCACACTCGTCCGGTAAACACTTATTTTCAGGACTAGTAACGTAATATATTATTGCAGGGACGTTTACTTTATTTAACTCAGCCATCAAAGCGATTGGAGTTGTTTAGATTTTTTGGAAGGAAACGTTCCAAACCCTTGTTCCAAACAAAAGAGTTTTCCAAATATTTATTAGATAGCAGTATCAATAGCCTATATGGTTCAGTTATATCCTATATTCTTACATCTTTATCATATAATTACGATTGAATTCCTAAGAAATAACAATTTTCATATTTCACTCTTTTAGCAGAAGCTTTTTATATGTTTTTAAAGAAATTATTTACGAGTTATGAATCTTTCCAAATTAACATTGGTATGTGTAACAATGTCCCGCTACCTCATATTGACTAGACAAATCTTTTTAAAAAGTTAATAATAGCAATATATCAGCTTATTCTTTAAAAAACATAAATGCTATTTCACAGATTAAACCTTTGTCATAACAGGACTGGTGGGAAACAGTCTTTTTTCGTTGCAGGTTTCGTTCACATAGACTCTAAGTCTCGAAAAGAATTTATAGGTTTATTTTAGCAAATTTCCCTTTAAATTTTGTTTAAAGGTGTAAGGCCGGATAAACTTGAATGAGTTCGCGAACCAGCATGATCGAACCATGGGAACGGGGTTTTACGGGGGGTTTAACGGGGTAAAAATTTGTTTTTCTCATTTATGACCCTCAAAACACAAAATTTCCCATTTTCTCTCTAGAACTTAGTGTTTTTGTACGCTTATTAGTAACGGAGAAAATTGAAAAAATTTAAAATTTAAAATTCCCATGTTATTCTTATATGGAGAATATTGTAAAATGTTATAGTTTGCTTGTTTATGGATATATTTTGATCAAACTTGGCAATTTTAATTATTTTATACTAAGCTATTAATATTTTACTAAAACACACTTTATTAGTCCCCTTGTAGCATTAAACCTAGTTACTCATTAAACCTAATGTTATTTAAATAGATTTAATTGAAAATCATTTCAGACAAATGGAAATTCGCTTAGTTGGCAGGTTTGCTGCGGCGGGGGTATTTTGATATGACGTTATACTCTAGCCTGGAACCGTTTTACACGTTACTGCCGACTTCAGGCATAGATTGGTCGGCAGTGGCCGATAGTGATCGGCAGTGATAGTGATCACAATACACTTTAGTGATTGGTGGGATTTGAACCCAGAACACTTGACCAGTTCACTTCCCCTTAGACATAAACCCTATTCAGTATTCAGATAACAATATATCGCAGTTAAACAATAGTTACGATGCATTTAGCTTTGATGTGAACGTATTAAGTTTGGACACAGTTAATTGTGCAAATAAAGCAGGACAAGGCTAAACCAAGTAAAGTGAAGTCTGGACATTAAAATCAAGGTAGAACCAGTTTATTTACACTTCGAAGCTGAAAATGACCAAACCTGGTGAAGCCACTTTTCTTAAGTTCTTGATTTAGGAAATTTTACCAAACTAAGAAATTTTCGTTGAGAACATACGTTAAATAAAAATTACGAAAGAACAGATTGTATTGCAAATGTTCATTTCTACGTGAATCCTACCGATGACGAATGCCCATTATATTCGGCAGTTTGTACATGTCAACTCGCAACATAAAACATCTTTGCGATAAATTGCCAGCGGCTGAGGCAATTACTAACGACCGAGTTTCGGGGACTGGAGATTAGGAGAAGCCGAATCGCTGAGGGATAATTGGACATGAAGTTGTACTTGTGTTGAGTACTCTAACAAACCCTCTCCTGATGATCCATTGTTGGATTGTTATTCGCATGATTTATCTAATGGGAAAACTGAACACTCTCACCATTTGTATATCGACAATAGTTGTGTGAAAACCTCATCATTTTATCGAAATCTTAATATTTCAAATAAAAATTAAACATCGTTAGTAGCAGGCAGTATAGATATGACATTTTTTTCACAGAATAAACTTAAATGAAGATTTACCTACCCAACGCACGTGAATAGATTACATACATGAAGCAAATTTCTCTCTGGGCCAGTCCCTCGGAATGGCTGATTAAATTTGAGATCCTGCCGTATGCATACTGAACCACCTTGACGCATTGAAGATGCTGTGCTATGTATACGTTTAGTTGCATTTTAGAATGTGTGCGATTGTATTTTCATTCTGGATAATAGTTTGTTGAAGTGAATAGCTTTAACAACAAAAATATAACATATTTTCTTATTTATTCCCCATAATT